ATATATAATATTATATAAAAATGATAAAAATATTTTCTATTAAATGATAATATGTTTCCATGTGGCATAGTTTAATGTATTCACTGTGGAATTTTTTTTTCTCAAATGATTATTTTCATATTTCAATGTAATAATAAAAAATCTTCTACTGCAATATTTAAATATTTACATGAAGCGACTTTCCTGGGAGTTTTATTGTGCTGTGAGACATTAGCACAGTGTGTGAAACATGTGGTTCATGATTTAGCATGATTAGCATTAATTAGCATGCCAAATAGCGTTGCTCTACACTGCTCCCGGAGGAGAAATACACTCTTGTGTCAGAAAAGAAGATTTGGGTTCAAAGGAAAAGAAGAAGCAACTCTTACAGCCCAGGGTTTGTCACACAGGTTGTAGATGGAGTCCAGGGAGTTGACGGAGGGGATTCCTGCGTACTGCAGACCGATGATCAAGTTCCTGAAGTCCTGGTTCTGCGTCATGCTGAAGGCGTGTTGACGCACCAGCACAAAGTCGGGCCTGAAAGATCTGGTGGGACAGACGGAACAGAGCAACGGTTGGACCGCGTTCTAGATTGTTCCCAGAAAACTGTTAGTCTGACATGAACCACAGTGAAGGAAACACCCGTGTTCTCTCTCCTGTAGAGGGCGCTGAGGTGATAACCCAACAAAATAATCAACTTCTTATTTTAACATTTTAGTTCTGAATTCATTATTTTGTTTATTTCTAATTGAGTTTTGGTCGGTTCCATGGTCTAGTGGTTAGTACGTCTGCCTCAATTTCCCAAATTGGGATCAATACATTTCTTTTTTTTTTTTTTGAAAACACAAACAAATTGACGTAAGATTTTTAAGCGTCAGCTGCAGTCGATACCGATCAGTTGGTGTTCGTCCCAATCAATGACTAAAAGTAGAATCAATAAAAAGTGTCCCTTATAAGAAGACAGCTACAGCTGACAGAGACAGACAGCACAGACAGACAGCACAGACAGCAGAGAGCTGAGAGGAAACTGTGGCTCAGTGTCTCAGCGGCCGCGGCTCAGGAATACTAATCAGACTGTCGTTGGAACCAAGTTCATTGGTTTCTGAAGGAACGTAAGTAGGTGGGGCTCCAATATATGTCCCGCCCCTCACAATATATCATGTATGGGCCACATGTATGGGTCACATGTATGGGCCACATGTATGGGTCACATGTATGGGCCACATGTATGGGTCACATGTATGGGCCACATGTATGGGTCACATGTATGGGCCACATGTATGGGTCACATGTATGGGTCACATGTATGGGTCACATGTATGGGTCACATGTATGGGTCACATGTATGGGTCACATGTATGGGTCACATGTATGGGTCACATGTATGGGTCACATGTATGGGTCACATGTATGGGTCACATGTATGGGTCACATGTATGGGCCACATGTATGGGTCACATGTATGGGCCACATGTATGGGTCGCCCAGGCAGAGTCAGCAGATTCCCTGACTCTACACTCCATCAGGCTGTCACCTCCTGCTGAGTGCATGTTGGTGTGGCCCATGTGGGGGGGGGGGTCGCTCAGAGATGCTGAGACTCTGCCTGACCCTGCTGTTTTCACTTCCTGCTGGGTGGCCCCCTGCTGGGCTGTAGGAGTTACTGTCTCAGGAAACTTAGTGCCTGTGGTTTGGGCCCCACAGGTGGACACTGATTGATGACCTTTTCATATGTGTGTGTGTGTGTGTGTGTGTGTGTGTGATGCTGACCTGACCACTCTGGTACCGCCCCTCATGACCTGCATGTCCACGTTACAGGTTCCACTGGAGTGTGAGACCAGGTTGACCTCAGAGAACTCGGCCTGTGGAGATGGAAATAAAGACGCAGCTTTAACGAGGCAGACGTCGGTCTACATCAGTCTGGTCTACATCAGTCTGGTCTACATCAGTCTGCTCTACATCAGTCTGGTCTACATCAGTCTAGTCTCCATCAGTCTGGTCTACATCAGTCTGGTCTACATCATTCTGGTCTACAGAAGGGCTACAGAAGGGTCCAGCCATATATTCCCAAACCAAGGAGCACTCACTTTTTGTGAGTTCGTTCCCTCCAGCCACTCTGCTTCTCACCACAAAATAATAAATATTAGAGCCGTCAAAATCCTTAGCTAACAGTTAGCTGCTCTAATGTGTTACACTGTGTGTTACACTGTGTGTAACACATTGGAGTCGTTCGATTTATGTCAGTTAGACTCACAGTTATACATGGATCAGACTGAGTCAGACTGAGTCAGACTGAGTCAGACTGAGTGCTCTCTGATGGTAGCTGCTCACTACGGCTCCCTCCGGTGGCTATTTTGGCTTCTGTGGTGGTAATTTAACTGTCGGCATCTGTTAGGAGTGAAAAACCTCAGAGTCTGGTCGTGTCGTGTCAGGTAAAGGGACAAAAACTGGTATCACTTCACTTCACTTCACTTCACTTCATATATATATATATAGATAGATAGATAGATAGACACACATCAGCTCATTTAAAATAAATAAATAAATCACTCCAAACTGAATGGCACTTTAGTACTTTAGTACTCTGTAGTAATAATGGACGTTACAGACTCAGTTCATCACACGTGATGTTTCATCAATTTTGTGTTTTTCCGTCAACAGGGGGCGCTGTGTGTACATTAAAAGGAAAAACAATGATCTGAAATGATTTTAGGTAACGGCTGCAATATAACAAAGAGTGAAAGATTTAAGGTGGTTCTAACCCATTTACTGTCTAATACTAGGTTTATATGATAAATATATATTTATATATTTACCTGCTCCACTTTGATATCATAATCTCCGAGGACCTTCTTTCCCCGAAACACTTTGGCCCTGAAAAAAAAGAGAAGACAACGGTCATGTTGCTGTCAGATGTCTCTGCTGCCCTCTACAGGTCATCAGCTCACAGTAGAATACATGAAAGAAGATGGATGCCCCTCGTACACTGTACACAGACAAACTTCCATTCAGTGACCAGATGTCTGTGGTTTCACCCACCAGAAAAATCCAAAAATCAAAAGGTGAAGTCAGTCAGTCTTGGTGACGGCAGAACTCTGAGAGTACG